CGGTAACTGTATCCTCCCGTTTTGATTTTGTTCGTTTTTTTTCGCCAGCTTCAGAAGAAACGACGAATCGTCGCGCGAGTCCAGTGCCGGAGCATCAAGAACGAGTGCCCGGAGCCCACCTGCGACGAGCCGGTGCATCGGCCGGGGCGCTGCTGTAAAACGTGTCCTGGAGATATGTACGGTAAGTGCGTCGCGCCCCCCAAGTGGGCCTTTTCGTTATGCCGGCTCTGACGCAATAGGTAATAAGAAAACCGCATACTCGGCGCGTTTCATTAACATTTTCTGCATAAATTGGCATTTTCGCGGTATATTGACTTTGAGAGTACGGCGCGCAAGGCCATCTAGATGTGAACGGCGCCCGACGACCTACATAAACATCTCGGGTGAGCGCCGCCACTGACTCCGAAATAAGATCGCATCGAGGAACATCGGTTAATTGGCGCCTGTTTTGTTGCAAAACAGTGTTGACTTCTTGAACCGGGTTCAAAGGGCATGATAAGGCCACCGGTGCAAAGAGAGCAACGTCACGATTACACTCCTGTCGTGGGTGAGTCGAAAGACACCCACTGAAATGCAGATGGCGCCACGGCGAGCCTCCTCCGTCTACACCGCGTCTGTTATTAAATAATACTCCCACAATTGCTAATTGGAACCGATTCGTGCCGTTCGAAGACCCGGATCACTCTGCCAGGGATAGACTGGACAAAATTGAGAAAGTAATAAAAAAATGAATCGAATAATTCTGTTAGTATGAACTTCCTTGTTAACATCACCAAAAATAATTCTACTTCTTTCTTGAGGATTGAGATTTATTTAGGTTTGCTTTTGTGATGTTAATGTGTCCAATCAACTGGAGAAACTGTAGCCTCGCACACTTCAATAGAAATAAAAAGCAATACAATCGAGATGTGTCGTGATGTTTATTCTTCAGTACTGACACGGTTTCATGACGTTTGCATATAATATCATGGCGCCAGTGTAAATATTTAGTTACGTCTATTATTACGAGACGCGTGCCTTGCGACTCTCGCACGGCTATTATTTCATTCTTGATTGCTAAAAATAGCAGCAATGGTATTTTCCATTTGGTAGGTATAGGGGCTAGTCCTCACTGTTTTCCACCGAACGTATGGAATAATCAATGAGGTTTATGGACAGGTTGTCGGTGATGAATGCGATCTTTTAACGCCAGACTGGCGCCCGCGACCTGAGATAATGTTCTCGCGTCTGCGACATGTCATATAACATCTAGATCGGCCTTAAACGAACTGTCATATTTTCGTCAAGAATGAACGACACTAGCCCGGTCACAGTACGTAGCAACCCTAAGTTGGCCCGATTTAACACGATTTTGTCGCATATGGTCGTTATAGCCATATATGAACGATCCTCGTTTGTTTTCTTCCAACTTTCTATTTGTTCCGATCGATGCAGTTACGCCCTCGTCCGGCACTTCCATTCATAATTTTCAAACAACCGGAATCCGCTCATTTGCATCTCGATTACAGATTCTGACATCATCCAAGACATTGTCCCCCAAAATGTACTCGACGAAGAAGAGAAAAGCAGCACCAAACGTATGTTGCTCGTTCGCAATTTAACAAACGTATCTAACGTTACAGTTCACAGATTACGCTGCTCTTCTCACCGAAAGGTCCTCCCTAGTCCTGCGTAATGACTTCAGGCTCATGTCCAACAATCTAAATAAGAATAATGTGGTCGCTACTGGAAGGTTCACTTTCCACAAGAAAAATCTCTACTACTCGTTCTATATTTCGGATAAAGCGGCAAGACCTCGCTCTCTTCAGTTTGTCGACAATGAAGGCAATATTCTTGAAGAGTTTGTATTGTCAAGATCCGGGGGTTTGGTCAACAGTTTGTATCAGAACGCGACTAGGAAAGTATGTGGTGTATGGAAACGAATTCCTCACGAGTACCGCAAACGTTTCCGACAAGAAAAAATTTATGTGGCACTCGTTTGGGGTGTCAAAGATCAAGCTGAGTTCACTCTCAGTGGTCAAGTCATGAAATACACCGCTCTCGCTACTGAAAATTTTAGTTCTTTGCTAGAACCGGCTGTTGGGACTATGACCGGAGCCGGTGGTACCGCTATAGTGTCGATTTCGACGTCAGTCTCAACCTCTATCTATCTAGCAATTGTTTTTAATGGGCTTTTCACAGAAGAAGACATTGCGGATGTCCCGATCAACGTCACTTTGTCACTTGATGAGAAAAAGTATATTCTCCAAGAGGTACTTGGTTCTTTCTTGCTCCAAAATAAAAATACTAATGGAATTGTTTTAGGTGGTTCGTGTGAAAAAACCCCACTATGAGTTAAACATGGTCGAGGTCCGATCCCCAGTGACTCCTGCCGATCTTCGTCTACTGACCCGTGGTCGCCTCGTTCTAACCGTCTCTTCTGTCTCTAAACCAGAGGCTCTTCGTCTCAGTGGCAGCGTTGTGACTAAAGTGACTTGTGAACTATTCCAAACGACTCTTTCAAGTTCTTCTGACACGAATCGGTTCGGAACTTCCGGTCTTGCTTGGCTCTATTTGAACAACGAAGGCTCTCTCGTTTACAATGTCCAAATTGATAATCTTAAAACAACACCCGATAACACCACGTTTATAACACTGGTGGACGTCAGCACTAAACGCCGCACCGAACTCGAAGACCTCACCCCAACATTCGACTTCATCAACGGTTGGGCTAATGGTACCTTAGCTAAGCTTAGTCCGAAAGTTCTAGAGCCTCTCTATTCGGGTAATTTAGCCGTCAATGTTGCCACCCCCAACGACACTAGTCTCGTCCGCGGCCGTCTAGTCGCTAAACCCGTCGCTGACGCTCGTGATGCTCCAGCTCCGTTCCTGCTAAAACGTGAGAATTACACACTTCCTGCATCCGCCGTAGGCATTGCCTGGCTCTACGTCGATAATGATTGTTGCATCCATTATGATGTGTCCATTTCCGGTTTGGGTTCCGATAGAAAACTTGAACTGTACTTGGAGCTTCTCCCAATGCTGGCACCGGGTGCCCCAGTGATCACTCGTTACTTGGACGAATTCCAAGGAAACCAAGTGGAAGGAAGTCCCGTCAATTCCTTGAATCGTGAGGAAATCAAGCGGTTGGATAACGGAGTTGGGTTCCTCAAAATTAAGGAAAAGGATACGAAGATCACTCTTCTAGTGGCGACAGTACGCCACGTGATGGCTCCTTCGACTTGCCAACCGCAGAATCCCGACAACGACGTCCATAGTATAGTTGACGATTCTGACGTTGGTCCCAGTGGAGATTGTTTCTACGAGAACAAGTTCTACCAACAGGAAGCCCAGTGGACTTCCAGTGATAACCCATGTACTACGTGTTTTTGCGAAAATGGGAATAACAAATGTTTTACAATGGAATGTCCGGAAGTCAAGTGTCCTGACGATATGAAGCTTGAAAAAGTACCAGGGGAGTGTTGTGCGATTTGTGTTAATTCTACTAGTTTAGTGGAAAGTAATCGGAATGTGCCCCAAAAGTGTATCTTCAACGGCCAGGCGTACTCCCCTGGGAGTAAGTTCCATCCGTTCCTTATCCCAACTGGATTTGACTCCTGTACTGTATGTACGTGCGACGCTAAGTACCTCGAGATCAAATGCAAGAGGATTTACAATGAGAAGCAATGTTGCAAGAACTGTGCACGCGTTGACTACAGCATGAACGGTACTTACTCGGCTGATGACGAAGTCCCGATGCTTCTTCACGGTGTGGTGCCTAGGAAGGAAATTCCCGCCAAGAGTGCCGAGCAGATCTTGGCAGAGGGAGGCTGTCCGAATCTGTACGATGCAAGGAAGCCTTACGTGAATGGCAGTGAATACCACCCCTCCATTGTCTCCTTAGGAGAGTACAAGTGTGTTACTTGTAAATGTGAGGTAGGTCACCATGTATATAGTTTTGACATTGTTACATGTTTCTTTTTTGTGTTACAGAATGGTAAACCGACGTGTTGGAGGGAGTGTGACAAAGCCACTTGCGAGAAACTGTTCCGTATGAAGAAGAAGCAACGCACGGAAGCTGGCATGAGGTGGAACAACAGTCAGTGTTGTACATTGCGAATGTGCAGGAAGTATCGACACAAGAAAGGCCACCGGCTACAAAAGAGTTGAATCGGTGGCTCAGTTATGTCACTAGTTAAACTAGACTGACCGTTGTACATGCATTGGAACTTTAAGGACTTCAAGTCCAGTTACCGTTTACCAAAGAAGACTGAGACAGTAGGATGGATGGAGCTGTCGTATTTATTCGAGTTAGCTTACGTCAGTTTTTAGGTTAAGTTTTGAACATGGCGCAGTCAACTAATTCGGGTTTTTTTGACAGATTATTTATTTATTTTTTATATGTAGTTTTCGGCGGGATATTACTTAATTACTTGACTGGGTCGCATCATTACTATTTATTTGACATTGTATAAGTTATTCCATAGTTGTATCAGGGGTTCCTGACTGGAACCTAATACTCACTAGAGATGAAGGCTGATAGGGACGCAGGATTTGGACAGGAACCGACCTCTTATGTATAATATTTATACTCGATATTTTTCAAGTTTTATTTTTTTGGTTCTTGTACATATTCCCTCTTGTAAATTGTATCAATACCCTTGTAGGACATATCATTTGGTGCCATCCCCCAAAAATTCTTTTAGGTACTTAAAACAAACTACACTCGTTAAGAGCATTTAAATGTAATCGGAATCTCCCTTGCAATAATACAGTATTTTGCTAAATTATTTTTTAGGTTATATCAGTTTTTGTGTGAATGTGATTTTATGGACGTGTTAAGTTATATATCAGTTAAATAAATTTATTGTACATAGTTTTTTTGCTGTATGATTATATAAAAAACCATACGCTTTGTATATTAGTTTTTTTTTCTAGTTAAGACATAATACTTCTATTATTATCCAACTAACTTTTGTATTCAGTAAGATTGTAATATAGTGATAAAGAGGGCCTCAAGATTGCATTTGGTAATTTTTATTTCTTGTGTTGACTTTAAATAGGATATGGAAGTGGTAATAATGCAACATGTAACAATCTAAGCTATACATATAAGTGTACCTGCTAGCTAGAAATAAACGCTTCACCAACATACGCCATTTTTGTTTACAATTTACTCCGATTCCAACCTGCTGCCTTCAACGCCTTTTCCAAAACCTCCAAAACCAAATCAACTTTTTCAGGCGTCGCATTATAACCCATTAAACCAATTCTAAACACTTTATTCGCAGATGGACCCAAACCACCACTAAGTTCCACAGAGTAACTGGAAAAAACCCCGATTACTAACACGTCTACCAACCTAACCTAAACTCACTTTTTCATTGCATACGCGACCACTTCCCGCCAATCGACACCATCAGGGACTTTGATGGAGGTGACTGTAGGCAACCTCTTATACACATCATCAACGAAAGGTTGCAGGCTTAACCTCTCCAAGCCTCGGTAAAACCTTTGAGCGCACTCTTGATGCCTCCTGATAACATTCTCCAACCCTTCCTCAGTAATTTGAGCTAAACCTTCCCTCAAGCCATATAAAAGTTGCGACGCAATGGTGTGATGGTACACTCGAGAACGGCCAAAGCAGTCCCAGTAATCTCCCAATACGGTCATGTCCCAATACAGCACCTTCACAGGACTCTTACGCTCGAAAATTTTCCTCCTAAAATTTATTTATTATTCACAGAAACTTAACTCTATAAAGAAAATCGGAGTTCACGAAGGCGTCGTATATTAATTTAACAAATTCCTTTCTTCAAAAAAAATTGTTTATTATTCATAAAAACTTTACATTAACTTCTGTCTGCTCTAAAAAAATATTTTGCTTGTTTTCTTAGGTTGTCCAAGGATTTTCAGCTCCTAATCTTAATTTGGTTTATTATTTTTTGGCATAATGATAATATAATTTGTTTCTAATTTAAAAATAATTATTAATCTTTGTTATTATTTTGTAACTTGCTACATTGACGGAATACTTATTCTTCCTTGGCCCTACCGCTTGATTGAACAAAACTCAATCTACTCACTGTGCTCTTGGACTGAACGAGATGGGGGCCAGCCCCGCCGGAGCGCCTAGAACCTTCTGTGTCCCCGTGTAGACAGCGTCCACGCCCCACCTGTCAGCAAGAAACGGCACTCCTCCCAAAGATGCCACGGTGTCCACTGCGAGCAAGCACCCATATCTATGGCAAATATCTCCAATTCCTTCGATATTCTGATATACACCGGAGGAGCTCTCGCCTTGAGTGACAAAAAACACGTGCGGCCGGTGCCTATTGACGGCATTTTCAATCTGAGAGAGAGTAAAATTGTTGCCAATTTCGGTTTCGAGGGTGACCACTTTAGCCCCGTAACGGGCGGCCATGGAAGCGGCGCGTGTGCCCCAAATACCGTTGATGGCAATCAATGCCGTGTCCCCGGGCTCGAGGAGGTTACAGAGGACGGCCTCCATGCCCCCATGACCGGAGGCACTGACGACGAGAGTAAGAGGGTTGGTGGTTTGGAACACATAACGGATGCCAGCTTTGATATCGTCCATTATCTATAATAATTTTTATTAATTTACAATATATTTTTTTATTAAAGTAGCCTATGACTTTGAATTAAAGTTGGCAACATTGAATATAATCTAAAAACAGAAGATATATATTATTGAATAATTGTGACGAAAAATTTACTGATTGAAATGAAACACTGATGGTACACTGGCGACGGTTCTGCTCACGACCGCCCTTCGAAATTGAATGACAACTATAAAAAAGTGACATTTGAATTTGATAGTCAATGTTGCCAAACTAAGATGTCACATTTGTGGTCTACTTGACGATAAAAATCAGTACCTTCTCTATATATTATTATTTATTCACTGTTGTTGCCAACTTAAATTTAAAGTCAAGGACAACTTATTAGGTCAGAAATTTAAGTGAATGCTTAGTAGTCGAATGATAAAAGATGTTAAGTTAAAACACTTAAAGGATGCACCATTTTTGATAATTGTAATGGTTTTACCTTGAATATTTCAGGATGCATGTGCCCCAAAATGGGTCTCGAGAGGGCCTCCATGACTCGTGGGGAGCAATTTGAGGGTCCAGGACCCATGAGGGTCTTGGATGGTACTCGCAAAGGTTGGTCTAATTCTTGAGGTGGTGCTACGTCCATGTTGATTCAATGAAATAAATACTTGGAATATCATACATGCAAATGAGCTCTCTCTTTATTTACTTGCTTATCAAAATAATGACTTTATCAAGGTTTAACCTTTTAACATTCAAATAGTTTAAGAGTATACCTAGAATTTGATGACGAACTGTGGAAAAATTATACATGCATGGTCATTTTCAATGAATGGGCACAAATGAAACTGATAAGTAGTCAGAATACATTAAGATAGGTCTTTGATAGGACCCTTCGACTTTACACAATATTGAGATAATTCCGCCTCTTTGAAATATTAAACAAATAATTGTGTCGCGATGTAGCGTGAGTTATAGGACATGGTAATTAATGTTAGCATTTCTCGGAGGCGGTTCAAGTTTATTTTTTTCCGGTAACAAAACCTTTGTTTATTTTGATAGAAAACCCTTTTACTATTTCACTCCCTAAATATTTGGTTTTGAATGTACCACATGGGAGCGTTCAAAAGTTCCATAAAGTAGCTCTAATTACATAAACATATTGACATATTATTACTATGGCGGATGTCAGGTAATAGTCCAATTTTGAATCCGGTGCTAATTCAGTAGGATGTAAAATGTTCCTTCTGGACCAGTATATTTGGCGTCTTAAAAAATAAGGCAGAACCCTAAAAATTAACTGTTTTCTTAAAAGTAAACAACTAAAATCCTTAAAAAAGCACTAATTTTTATACACCCTAAAAGTACCCAATATCTACGCAGACCACTAAAAATTGGACTCATGAAAAAATTGTTAAAAATCATCTAAAATCTTGCAAAATTATATCAAGAACAACCTAAAAAATTTACAAAATATCTTGTTTTTAAACACTCTAAATGGCTTTTTTTTACTAATAAAATAATTACTAATTATGTTTGATTTTGGATGATTGTCAACGGTTTTCTCATATGCCCAATTTCTGGTGGTCTATAGATTTTTGAGTATTTTTGGGGTGCATAAAAATTTATGATTTTTGTAGTATTTTATGTCTTTTTTTGTTGTTTACTTTTGGAAAACCTCTAAATTTTTAGGATTTTCCATTGTTTTGCAAGGCGCCAGATATCTTGACGTCATTCCTCTTTCATTTGGTGTTGATGTTTTTTATTTTTTTTATGCGCCAAACGCCAATTTTTGGTGGTCTACAGATTATTTGGGTACTTTTTGGGTGCATACAGATTATATTGTAGGTCTTTTCAGTTGTTTACTTTTGGGAAAACAGTTAATTTTTAGGGTTCTGCTTTGTTTTTTAAGATGACAAATATCGTGGTCCAAAAGTAACATTAACTTAAGTTAATACAATTAATCGAATTAATTCGATTGGTATGCAAGGGGAACAAAACACGCCCATTCTTGGCCAACTATTACTTGGATAAAAATGTCATTTGCATCGATTATCCGAGACATGATGAAGATTACTTTGGAAGTAACAGTTCAGTCACGTGACTAATTGCCATTCATCAGCACTTGTATAATGAAGAGATTCCTTGTACGCGTTCAGCCATCCGATCAGATAAACAAATTTTTATTAGTATCATATTCTTGCTCATAAACAATCGCTCGTTTATCACTTGAGGGACATTGGGTGTTGTAGTTGGCAGCGCACACTCGGCCGCCTTGATGCGGCGTGTCGGCCAAATTCAATTAATTTCCTGAGTTGAGAAGAGGCCGCCGCAACAGATTTTATTTTATAACTTTGGAAGGAAGAAAAAAAAATGTATACCTCCCTTCCAGACAACAATATGGCCACCTGTTGAGTTCGTGCCGCTTTCGTATCTAGTCGGCTGGTTCGCCAGTCAGTTGTTTGCAGACATCGGTTTGTTCGGTATGCGTTCCGAACTGGTCTTCAAGCACGAAGAAGAGCTTTTAAATGGAAGAAATTGTGGTGTCATGTGCAATTTGTGAAGTGAAGAAGCCGGCCTGGAGTTAAATTTGACAATAAGTGAGTTGCGATTTTGTTTATTTTCAAATTGAGTACCAATTTAAAAAAAAAAAAAAACACCAAGGGTGGTTTGAGGTTATGTTTGTGTTAAGTACCGGAAGCAGGTGATTCGGGTAATACCCGAGTAATTTGTCGCTATAATAATGGAGACGTAAAATGTAATCTTGCGGGGTCAGAGTGGCCCCCAGGCCGATTTTTCGCGTAATGAAATCAATTAATATCTGCGCGATGGTATCGCCAGCTGAGGAAGGATTTATGGCCAGCCGGGGCAGGTGTCGGTCGAGGGCCCAATATCCACGCAAATGTAAATCGCGGAGTCGATTACAGCCCTAATTAAGGGTTGAAGGGCTTCGAGAAGCCAACTTTCCGAGCGTGGCCGAGTTTTGAGTACAGCCGTTACAAAAACGCGACCACCCAAACCGAACATGCGAACAAATAAAAGTGTAAGTTATAATTTCAAATTAAAACGTGTAATAAAGACTCGTCCGACAACCTGAAATTTAAATTCACTTAATTTGTTTGGTTTTAAATTAAGCTGATTACGTGGAAAGCAGCTGGGAAATAGTTTCGGCCACGCAACACACGCGGGCCTCAAATTTTAAAAGACTCGAATTTAAGGCATCGTAACGGGACTTGTTAAACAGACACTTTATTTTATGGTAATTTGTTTTAATTAACGGAGGCAAGAGTGATGGCTTGGGCTTCCGACAATTTCTGCTGGACTTCCGAAGAATAGGAATGCTAAGCACGGAGCTATTGAACTAAATGGATTAGAAACTTCGTCCATTGAGATTGAGTAACACACCGAGTACTTTGTAATGAATCACTCGGTTCGGATTTCACTTTTTGTTTTGTCTAATTAATTACTTTTTTCTTGTTACACAAAGAATAATATTTACTTCTGTTGTAACCCGAAACCATTATCTTTCCAGATGAACGTAGTCAAACAAGTTTATTCAAGTTAATTGTTGGTATTTTACCGAAATGAAAGTTTGACGTTATGGAGATGAGCCGTCGGATAATAACATTAATATAATACCAGTTAAACTCTCAAAGAATTATAAACTTTCTTACGAAACTACCAATTAATTGAAAACTAAATTATGGGAGTAAATTATTTATTATTGACGCCCATTTTTTAAATTTTTGTAATACAGTGTTGATGGTGTCACTTTTATTATTATCAGCGTTGTTATTAATAATTATTGAATATTGCAACACAATACTTGAACTTTTAGTTTGAACTTTCAGTATCTAATATTATTATTGGTGTTGACAAATCTTTCCTAGTTAAATGTTATAGTTTCATAATGATTATTTTAGATACATTCTAGATAAATTAGTTAAATATCGGTCATTTTAGTGCACATTTTCCAAGGTTTGTTAAACAGTGATGTCATTTGTAGAAAATACAGTCTAACCTCATTAAACCGAATCTTCAATATACAGGGTTTTCCAAATGAAATGTTACTAGTAATCTTTGTATTTTAAATTAACACAAAATAAAAAGTAAGGTGACCAACCGTTCTGATTTAGCCAGAACATGTTTCAGTTTTTATTGTCGTGTCCTGTTTTACATTTATACAGGGTATTTCACGAGTGATAATGAGCCTGACGGAATTGAAAATACAACCCACAATACATTTGCAAAGTTAACGTGGATATTTTAGATATCGCATTGTTTGAAAAACCGAATTATGAATCCACGATAGCTTTGCTTCGATAATTTTATTTGTCACAACGGACATTAGCAAAATTTCAAAATGCATTCGAACGATGAGAAAACAGATCTAATTCTCATTTATGGCGAATTTGGGAAAAATGCTTCTTTTGTAAAGACAATGTTTCCTGTATAGAAAAGCTCCAAAAAGGCTTGAAAGTGTTTTCCAATGGTAGATAGACAATAACCTTAAAAATTGTGTTTCCTGTCTTGTCAATTTCTTTGTGTCAGTCACGCGATAACTATGTTTTATTAATTTTAAAATTCATAATCAAAATCCATGAAGCCTATGCAAATGTATTGCTGGCTGCAGTTCAAATGTGGTCAGGCTCATTATCACTCGTGAAATACTCTGTATATGTACTGATTTGTCCCGATTTAAGGGCCAACACACCTAAGTGTGCAATTTTTTGAGATTTCCATTTGCAGCGAAAACAAAGTTTTCTTTTTGTTGCCATTTCAAATTTGGTCAATGTAAAAAAAAACTGAACTGAAAGTAGAAATATGTACTTAAAAATCGCTTATGAAAGAGTTGTCGAAGCAATTCATAGGTAAAAAAAATGAAATTAACACAAAACAATAAAATAGTATGTTAATTAGATTAGGGCCCAAAACCTGTTTTTTTGTTTTTTATCAATATTTTGCATCCTACAATGCAGTCTTATTATATTTAAGTTTTTGCACAGAAACCTTAGTAACACCTTTTTTGTGTTCTGGAATATATTTATTATAATTATTTTTATTATTGTCCTGATTTTGAATTTTCTGAAATTGGTCACCTTAATGAAAAGATGTTTATTAAACAATATACTCTTATTTAGCTCGGATAATATCTGTTAAACCACTTATGACTTAAGCTTTTTTTATACATACGAGTATGTATTTAGAACAGGGAAGGAAGTCCAAGAGATTTGCGAGGTAAAAGTCTACCTTCTTTTTCAGTCATTCTTAGTATATGTTACATAAATAGGGAGAAATGTACATTAAATCTTAATATACCTACATACATAGGTGTAAGGTACCTTTTTAAAATGTAGTTTGTTTAGACAGAATAGCAAGTTTTATATACAGTAGAGTTTCGCAAATCCAGACACGATGGGACCGGACCCAGTCCGATTAGTGAATGTCCGTATTAAAAGGAATAAGCTTAAAAATGTCTGTAAAACGAGTTTTAGGTGGGTGAAACTATAAAAATTGTTTTTTTTTAATCATAATTATGATGTTTTTGGTCTCAGTACAAGGAGTAAACAAAACGACAAATAACTGCCGACATGAGATCTTTTTATTATCTATAACAGCCCTAGTTGTTATTTGAGCTCGGTCCGTTTACTCCGGATTAACGAGACTTTACTGTAATTAAAAGTTGGTACAGATGGCGGATTTAAAACATACGCCATATAATCAATTAAAAATTATTATCGAGATTAATACATACATTTTGCTATTTATGTGTGTTTACTCTAACGTGGGTTTACCAAAATGTTTATCGTTATCAAACATTGCCCTTGCTAAATTGATTTTGCCTGTGATGTTTGCCCTCTTGTTTGTATAATAATATTCATTAATACATATTTTTTAATCGACAATTTGAATAAATTTAATAGGTATTTTTTTAAAGAAATCCCACAGCGGTCATTAATTTACTGAGCAATATTACTAACGTTAAGTGATGTTTTTATTTACATGCTTTTTGCAAACCAAACAAATGTTTTTTTTTTTCAATTTATTATCAATACTTTGGTAATCACCAAACAGTTTTTATTTGGAGAATGAATACAACCAGTGTCACTCTGACCGCAAAGCGTAAATACTATGATTTGTTCATTGTTGTAAGATTTTAGTGAAAGTCTTTATTGTGCGGCTGTTTTCTTTTACTTATTATTTCAACAAATTTACCATTTTGTCCTGTAAAATAAGGCAAGCTCACAAAGTTTTCAGTTATTAGCAATATTTAAACATTTGTTTTGCCCTTGCCTGTCAGTAGGTAATACCAACATCAATTATGTACAGCTACAACAGGGAGCGTTTTTGCTCCACCTCATTTATCTTTGATTATATTTTTTGCCATCATTATTTCATGCCTCAATGTTAGTCTGAATTTTCGCGTCTGATAACTGCTATTTTTCCTGTCGCCCCAATTTCCGTGTTCGATATCCTATCTCATGTTAAAGATTTCCTAATTCGCTTCTTTCCCAGAATTTGCGTTATCACCTCTGCGAGCAATTTTCTCGCTGAAATCTGGTTTTATTTGCTTACAAAGCCCGCTTCACACCCAACAATAAATCATAAATTCGAGCCGGTCCGTATTCTGTATAAATAGTAGTAATGGCAGTGGTGGCACGTCCGTTCGTCTACCTGCCCCACAGTCATTATCCCTAACAAGTAGACACGCAGAGGTCTGTCTGGTCTTGTGACCACGCGTCACCTGTGCTAGCCACAAGCAAGCAGTCAAGTGCCGGCTGCATTCTCGCGCTCTTTTTGTACATTTTCAAGCACTAATATCCTTTCTTCGCAATTAGCGAAGCGCCCCCTGTCGGCGTCGCAACGACCAACTTGGGTGGCACGCTAATCAGCGTCAAATTTGAAAAATTCGCTATAAAATCGGATTTCCCACGCCGATGCTTGTCCAATTAACGATTTGACGATGACAAGGTGGCAGGGTCAGTCTGAATTTCCTATTTACGGTGTGTCGGTTTTTTGTGAAGTGTTTAGCCGATCTGGTTGACCTTGAAAACGCGGAGCCATGTTTTTGCCCGTGATTTATTTACAGTATGTTTATGACAAATTATGTTCGGCATTGTTTGGTGTTTTTGTTATTACCAACGTAATTACAATCCTGGTATATCTACTAGATCTGTTCTGTCAAGTGTTCGGAACGAATCCCATCTGGAACCGATCCGATAATAGGCAGGTGGGACAACTTGAGGGACTAGAGGACCAAGCTAACGCCGGCTACCGCTTTAACAATTTGTCTGTTTTAAACGCGCGACTGACAGGTGGTCGTAACGGATTTTTTAACTATGAAACTTTATCATAGTTTTCCGGTACGATTCTAAAACGCCATTATGGGCATTCCTTGCAAGCTTTTCGTTGCGGATTGAGTGCTCGTAAATTGCGCGGTTACTGCGAAAAGTCGTTTCCGGTTAAGTTGTGTCAACACCGATAACGAAATGCATTTGCTCCGGGTAAACATTTCGGTTTGGATTATCCCCGAACACGCAATTTGAGGATTTCGATGCTGCCAACCACCAATCACGTGATCACATAATTAGCCCGCCACTTTCAAATCATTCTCGAGGGTCAATTAGGGTTTACACTCGCGCTTCAAGAGCCGCTCTAATGATCCTTGTTGATGATAGACAGATAATATCGTTATGGACTCCGGTTTATTTAACAATACTGTCTACATTTCTCATTGTGTCCAACCATTAGCAGTACGACGACACAAACCGATCATAATTATTTCGAAATTTAGACTTATTATCATGGCCATGCACCGGAATGATGTCTATCTATATTTATACTGGTCTTGGTTAAAACTTGAGGCCGAATGGGACGTTAGGACATTCCTTTCCTGTTACGGAGAGGTCCACCCATGCGTGTAATTAAACGACACCGATAATAAACAAACTCTTTCCCCTATCCACACAATTATAAACAACCCATTTCCGATAATTTACGGCCCCACCTACTGCGTCTAGCAATAAATCGCCCCTTTTTTTTAGAATCGTATTAATTTCGTAACGCTTATCGCGAAAAAAACGGCTTTATTACATAAACTTTATTTAAAATGGATTTATCACGAACTTGGGCAAAATTACGTGACGTTTATACAGATTTATACGATTAATGGCGTTATCCTATAGGGAGTGAAGTGGAGACACGCAAGAGGTCACTTTAGGACCAATACTTTTTGCGTCTTGACTAAACTCGGCCGAATTTCCACCAAGGCGATTATAGTCACGATATAGACAAGGATTTACACTTATTTGCCTTGATTTCAGGCACCAATTGGTAATATTATAAGTGCTTTTTCACATGTAATAATTATCTAGTTGGAATCATTAGTAAACAACAGGCACTAAAAATAGAAACCTAAAAAGGTTCTAAGCTAACACATTAAACCCATTAGTTGATTCACTTAATTGCTTTAATTCCACTATTTTATAGTTGAAATTCGGTACCAAAAACAGCCGACTACTTTACCTAACAAGTCAGTTCTTGCAAATGAACACTTTTAAATATCTTTAAATTTTCGGGAATTATTTTTAACCGATAGTTTTACTATACATCTTTGGCATATGCGTGCCCATAATTACCATGTGATTATTATTTTGGTGATAACGAGCGGCATTTTCAGCCAAGTAGTTTTCTAGTCGTGAAGATTTGACCTCGCTTAACCTCGCTTGAACATCGTTGGGGTCACCAAAGGCCATGATTTCTCCCGGTAAAGCATACTTTGTGTTTAAATCGCGAGGAGAGCCCTTGACGGAAGGTCATAAAAACAGTGGTATTTAGATGGATTTATTGGATTAAAAATCACTTTTTAAAGTGTTCGAGAGCGGCTTTTAAAGCTTCTGTCATGTATTCGACCATTTCGGGTCTACTATTCTGGCCTAAGAAGCCGACACGAATGGCTTTTCCTGAAGTGGGTCCGTGGCCGGCGGTGATATCGATCTGGAATCTGAAACAACGAAGGAAGTTTTGCTATTTGGTTCTTTAATCGAACCATTACTTTTGTCGGATAAAGTTGAGAAACTCCACGTGGTCAATTCCTGGAGGTAGTATGACAGGAGTGACCCCCATGAACCGATTCTGGACATTCTTTACGTATGGTTCAAGACCAATTTCTTCTAGTTTTTTCCAGAAAAGTTTAGTGGTGGATGCATGTCTCTCCCAAACTTCGACAAGACCTTCTTCACAAATTTCAGCTAAAGCTTCTCGTACTGAAGCCAGTAAGTTTGAGGAAAAAGTATAATGGTACTGTCGTGGCCCAGGGGTGCACTTCCAATAAACTGCCAATCTAGTCACGTCCAAGTAGTACGGAGGTGGTACTTTTTTCTCACTCATACGTTTCCTGGAAGAATTTTTTGAAAGCGGTTCGAGAGAAATTTTTGGTAACTTACTCAGCTCTGGGACTGAAACTAAGCATACAAGTACCAGGAGGAGCACCTATAGCTTTCTGACTACCAGCACTGACAGCATCAATCTCCCAGCGATCAACAAAGAGTGGTTCTACTGCAATAGAAACGATAGCATCGACTGCAAGCAAGCAGTCATGTTCGTGACACATAGCACCAAGACCTTCAAGAGGTTGGAGAGTTCCTCCTGTGGATTCTCCATGAGTTACAAACAACATTCTGGCTTTGTGGCGCACTACTGCATCTTTAAGTTCCTCCAGAGTGAAAATTTCGCCGGGATTTTTCCTGAGTGAGAGGATATCGAAATCTGAGAAAGTTATAGAAAGCAGCAAAATTTTGCTTACTATATCTTTGCCCCATATCGACCATTTTCTCGCCCCAAGTACCCCCAATTGCTATAACTATCCGATCTCCGGGATCTAGAAGGTTTACCATAATGGCTTCATTGCCTCCATTTCCCGACGTTTGACTTACAAGAGTGAGATTATTTTTTGTTTGAAAAAGGTACCTTAACATGACTTTGATTTCATCTTGAATCTGGTACAAAGGATACTTTAAACCGGTTTAAGATTTGTAGAACTCACCTGGATAATGTCTGCTCCCAAAGGATTCAAAGGTTGTCTCGATAACGCTTTAGCAACTCTTTCGGAAATATTTACCGGTCCAGCAGTTAACATAAGGTATTCTGGTGTAGAAAACCATTTTGCCGTTTTTTTATATTCACATTTAATGTCTAGGTGTTTTGACATGGTGTAGTGGACTATTATTTTTATCTCAATAGTCTGGATTTAAATAGAATTGATAAAAAGTCGCAAGTCATGAAAATCTTGGTATAGAAATAGTAGGTATTTTTTTCGCTGAGTAGATAACATTGTATGTACTTTCGATCGGTGCGTCTTTGACGGGTAATTTATCTAATTGTGACATTTTATTATCTTTTTTAATTATGCAGGATTGTCAATGTTTACCAATGAATGTGTGAATATTATCTACCTAATCATTTGTGAATTAGAGGACAAATATTTAAAAATATCCTAGCCTCGATAACACTTTACGGCGGTCGCAATTAATATTAAAAAAACTAGAAAGAAATGTTATGTATCTTTCTGGTAAGACTTGTTTGCCAGTAAAAACAGCTGGACCAACATGTAAAGAATGCAAGAAACGCAAATGCATATATATGTTCTTACGCACGAACAGATAGATAGATAGCATACTTTAGGTTTAAATCACGAGAAAATCCCTTGTCGGAAGGCCTTAAAAAGCAGTGGTACTTAGATGAATTTATATTTTATTTATCACTTCTTAAAGTGCTTGAGACCGGCTTTTAACGCTTCTGCCATGTATTCGACCATTTCGGGTCTACTATTCTGGCCTAAGAAGCCGATGCGGATGGCTATACCCAAAGTGGGGCCATAGCCGGGAGTGATATCTATCTGGTACCTGAAACAAGAAATTTTATCATTTGGTACTTTAACTGCACCAGTACTTTTGCCGCATAAAGTTGAGAAACTCCATTTGATCAATTTCTGGAGGTAGCATCACGGGAGTGACTCCTACGAACCGATTCTTGACATTTTTTACGAATGGTTTAAGACCAATTTCTTCAAGTTTTTTCCAGAAAAGTCTAGTGGTGGATGCATGTCTCTCCCAAACTTCGACAAGACCCTCTTCACAAATTTCAGCTAAAGCTTCTCGTACTGAAGTTAGTAAGTTTGAGGAAAATGTATAATGGTACTGTCGTGGCCCAGGGGTGCACTTCCAATAAACTGCCAATCTACTCATATCCAAGTAGTACGGAGGGGGTACCTTTATCTCACTCATACGTTTCCTGGAAGAATGTTTTGAGAGAAGTTTGAGGAAAATTTTTGGTAACTTACTCAGCCCTGGGACTGAAACTAAGCATACAAGTACCAGGAGGAGCACCTATAGCTTTCTGACTACCAGCACTGACAGCATCAATCTCCCAGCGATCAACAAAAAGTGGTTCTACTGCAATAGAAACGATAGCATCGACTGCAAGCAAGCAGTCATGTTTGTGACACATAGCACCAAGACCTTCAAGAGGTTGGAGAGTTCCCCCTGTGGATTCTCCATGAGTCACAAATAACATTTTGGCTGTGTCGTACTACTGCATCTTCAAGTTCTTGTAGAGTGAAAATTTCGCCGGCATTATTCTTGAGTGGGAGAATATCGAAATCTGAGGAAATTATAGAAAATTGCAAAATTTTGCTTACTGTATCTTTGTCCCATATCGACTGTTTTCTCGCCCCAAGTACCTCCTATTGCTATAACTACTCTATCCCCGGGGTCTAAAAGATTAACCATAATGGCTTCATTTCCGCCATTTCCTGATGTTTGACTCACAAGAGTGAGATTATTTTTTGTTTGGAAAAGATACCTCAACATGCCTTTTATTTCGTCTTGAATCTGACACAAAGGGAGTTTTAACCCAGTTTATGACTTGTAAAACTCACCTGAAACATGTCTGCCCCCATAGGGTTCAAACATTGTCTCGACAAAGCTTTAACAACTCTTTCGGAAATATTTACGGGTCCAGCACCCAACAGAAGATACTCTGTCGTAGAAAACCGCTTTGCGGTTTTTTTATACTCACTTGTAATGTCTAATTGTTTCGACATGTTGCTGTGGACTATTATTCTCACCTTGAAGGTTTAGGGTAATATAGAGTTGATAAGAGTCGCAAGTCATTATGAAAATCCTTATATAAAGAAATATTATGTATCTTTCCGCTGCGACTCTTGGAGCTTGTCGGAAAACAGCTGTACAAAAACATGTGGAAGATTTTGGAGACGCAAGCGCGCAAATATGCCGTCCGCGTGGACTTGACAGTGTCACAAACGTTACAGTGTTGAGTGGTGGTGTCCTCAAGATGTTGCGTAAGTCCAAAACTTACTAAAATTAGAAAAGGAAGTCAGCGACGGCTAAATATAGACAGTGATTTTGCTACTTCCTGGTATTAGGTTGAAGCGCATCTTTGCTACAATAGGGGTGCTTTATACCTAGAGGCTCATTGTGCGCGTATAAATGCAGGTCTGAGCAATAATGTATTTCAAGCTTTTCAAGCTGTCGTTAACCCCGAATGAAGTAACTTTTCGAGGGGATGAAAGCGTGTTCTAAAGCTCGTGTTTTATTTACGTTTTTGGATGAAAAGCAATGCATATTTCGAAAGCCTCATGTGCAAAACCACGTAACTACAAAATTTATAATTTCACAGGAGATATGAAAAACTAAGATTTTTTTTACTTATTTTTCATGTTTCCTTCAAAATTTTAAATTTTGGGCTTTTACATGAGGGTATCGATATTTGTACCTATTGGGCAATTTATCTCTATTTTTATTTATCTATTGAGTCTACAATACGATTTGTGTTTCCTGCTAATAAAAAATAAACATACTTAAATGTGAAGTTGCTTGTTTGGATAGGAATCGATTATAGTTTCGATATTTTATCGTTGAAAGTTTCATGAAGGGTAACGTTTCAAATATCGATTAAATAAATAGTGCCATTATTCTATTTATATTCAATTGTGTATGAATTATTTAAACGGGGCTTGAAATGAGGGCACATTTCGAGATTTATCTACGTAACTAATCCGGAAAATGAGCTTTTACTGGACAAATAGGGAAATATATACAGAACGAGTCCTAGTAACTTAAAAATATCACTGTTCTGGACATAGTGAGTACAAAATTTTTCATGCGTCTCTATAACGTTCATTTTTAAATTAAAATTTTGCGGCTTTATTGTTTTAAGACTGGTGGTGAGTGGAAATATCTAAAATTATTTTTATTATCTAATAACCAGTCAACAGTTCGATTGGTAGAGTATCTAGCGGAATAGTCCGCTAATATTTATCAATTCGTGGAGATATTTTCTTTACATTTCGTGTACGATGCCATGACTAAAGCAATGTCTTTTGTTTACTCTTTGATTTTTATGGTTAAAAATCAAGAAGCTTTATGATATGTAGTATATAGGAATAATTTTACTAAGGGATGTTTGGTAGTTCTTTCTCAAATTTTTGCATCATAATTTACTAAATTATTTTTTATTTACTGCATCTCTGTATTAAAAATAATTAAAAATTCACACACTCGACAGGAAAATCAAGTGTGGAAATAATAGTATATTTAAGATTCGTTTCAGTTTTAACAATTATTAAATTGAATTTCTGTGTTTATGCAAGCAAATAGATAGAAATTCTCTTTCGGTTTTTAGTTATAGGGTCACGGTTAAATTATAAATATCACTTTCCCGGAATATTGGCTTATTTTTTTGCCACACCTGTTGTGATGTAATCGTGTTTGTATATTTTGCACTAGGGAATCGACTTTTATCTTATCTGAGTGCATTTTAAGTAAGTTAAAAATTTACACATGAAGTTTTCACTCAGCCCATTTTAATTCACTGGACAAACCCAAAAGATTCTTAAAATAATACGATCCGGAGCTCTTAAAAACCTTGTTGTTCTGCTCCGTTACTTCCGTTAATTGAATTTTATGACAGAAAACAAAGACCGTGGTAAACTGAAAAAAGTGGRCGTAATCCAAGATGTCGAAATTCATAAAAATCAAAAAATTAACGTTCCATTAACTGCTGGCTATCATCTATTAATTATCTTGCGGCTTCTAAATAGAAACACGCATAGGGCAAACATCAATAATTAATTACAACTGTAAAACGGCGAGACGTGCTATAAAATTATTAACGACAGATTTGCGAACACCCACGAATAGGGAATTTACAGCTTCCGCATAGATTTTTCTGGTCATCGTTGGCACCCCTTTTAAAGATGTCCAATTAACGCAACAACATATCGCTGCCTATCAACCGAGCGAAACGCCAAGTTCACTGAACGAGATGAATAACGAGTCTGTTGATTCCGAATCTCAAATTTAAATGTGTACAACGAGTTTTAAATATTTTGATGGTTATCTCACTTCGGTTATTAAGAGAACGCATCCGCTTCATTAGACCTCAAAATGCATCTCTTTTCTCTCACATGTACCAAATTTTGGTCGAAATCTGTTTGTTTTTAAGCCGTTAATTGTGTTTCTTGTCGCTTGTCAAGGCATGATTGTGGGTTTATTGATTCGGAAAGGACGAATAATCCCTTTATAAACAGATTTGTGTCAAAGGGATTTAGGGCTCGAATATCAAGTATCCAGTATATTCATCTGGAATTGTCAATTAAGTCTTTTGGGAGTGTATGCGAAATTGAATTTATTTCTTCTGGCAAATGCTCAAAATATGATTCATATAAAATTTTTAAACATTTTTTTGGTTTTAATCTGAAACGTGTCTGAGATTTGTTACTGTCTCGAGTCACACATTTCGCTACACTACTCGTGTTATGTCTGAGTCCATTTCACATCCCAACACTGTGACATATGCTAAACACGTGTGTCTAATAATATTAAAAGTTTCACTTTTTATTCGATACTTGGGCATGTAATAGTGGATTTATTGAACGGCGCCATATTGCATCTCCTAATAAATTATTTTATTACAATTCCTTTGCGGCTTAATTGGTTGTGAACCAACATTGGGGTCGGAAACAATTGACATTCGTTGCAAGAGGTCGGCCAAGTGTTCTCTTATAAACAAGTGTGGAGCGCCGCAAGGATGAATCGCGGACCCTCTTCTTTACATTATCTTTTTTTGGTTTCAGGTAGATGTGGCGCAGCTCGCGCTCCGCTCGGCAACAATGCGAAATGGAACAGCTGAATCCCCTCCCCGAAAGATCTGCAGGGCTCTTCGGGATCATCCCGCAAAACTCCCCTCATGTCCGACGAGCGCACTTGCAATTTCCACCCCCTCCTAATTACCCTCCGCCATCTACTTCTGCCATGTCCGAAGAGCACTTGATGAGTGCTCCAGGACCATCAAGTCAGAATGCTTGGGATCTGCCTAATGACTATTCATACGCTTACTACGTGCCGGGGCCCCCGACACGCCATACGAACGTCCCTAGCAGATACCCGGGATATAGGGAGGGCTCCTATAGGACTCGTCACACGTACTTGACGCGCTACGGCACTGAAGAGAATATCTACGAGGAGATAAGTGAAGTGGCGAGAGCCCGACGGAGACCTCAACAACATCAGAGCATTATGAGCATCAACCAGAGTCTGGTGGAAGAGGAGTTGAGGAGGGTCCAGACTGGACACAGGAGGGTCCTAGGGGAACTCAACCTGTCCATCGAGGCGATGCTGATGCCATCATCGTCGCGGGAGGGCAGTGATGACACCGATAAGGAAGAAGGTGACCAGTTGGCAGATCTGCTAACTGTTGGACCCACTGACGATTTGCTATCTCCAGTGACTTTGGTGGACATGGATAGTGGATTCAGTGGTAGTTCAAGTGGTGCTAGTTATCGGAGTGCAGGGGGGAGTTTAAGACGTGGACCTGAAAGGCCGAAATCGGCCATTTCTGCAGGTCCGAGAACTTCCACACCGACAGAAGCCCAAAAAGGGTTCTGGGGAAAGAAGGCTTGGAGGAAACTTACCGGATTTCCTAGCAACATCAGTCTTAATAAACAAAAAGGTTAGTGAAGGATTTACACTTTTACCAACTTGAGTCTTCTGAGAATATTCTATTTACAAACAATAAACAGTATGCAAAATCGATGAATGGTTGTTATTATGCGAATAGTCGTTCACTTGACCTCGTGGAAAAATCGTAATTGCCTGGAATGAAAAATTGAAATTGGAATGACGGTTCCAACCCGTTACACAATGCAATTTGCAGTGTGTTCGCTCACCCACACGGTTTTTAAATGGGATTAAAATCCTTAAAAGTAATGGCATCGCTTTGTTCTCCCGGACAGAACAAATGCAGGTCCCGGGGTCGAGATTAATTTTTCAAGGGGATGGCAACACTGTTACACACTTTTGTTTCGTAACTCTCTTGTTTACAAATGCAAATCGTGTTTTTTGAGAACAATGCCTCCTTAATGTAGGAATTTACGGTATGTGGGAACCGTCTGTCCTGAAACAATTAAATCGGGGGCGTGATAGCGCGCCATCTATCGATGGCATAACTGACGTTGCGATCTTCAAGTCTGCGACAAAAACGAGCCAAAGGATGATTTACGACTGATAATCAATTTTGATTCGATTATGTGGGGCAATTATGTAAATTCGTGGGTTTTTTCGGCACGACCGGATGATTGATGGGACGAAAAGTATGTGTGAAACTCCCATTGCCGTGCACTTTTCACCGATACCACCCAGAAGAGACCGTGGAAATGTAAACGGAATGACTTACTAATTTGTCGTACGCCAGACGAGACAAGGAATTAATGGCTCTAATGGGCAATAAAATCATTCCATGTGGGCGGGACGTACGGTACGGGTCTTTTATAAAGCCTGCGATTACCGACCAGATAAATAACACGAATTTAGACGAGTTATGAGGAGAAGAGGCAAAAGTTTTATTTACCCGCCCGACATTGTTTTTTCAGAGGAAATTAGGGTTTCGCAAGACGCTGCAGGCGCTTCTGAGAAAAGACGCAAAGTTTGTGCAAGTGGAAAACAGACTGAATTGAATCGTACCACAACTTCAATTATAAATTTCCGGTCAAAGTGGCAATATTGAATGAGACACTAGAGACACACTCGTTCTTCTGTATGTGCACTATCCATTGTTGCCAACTTAATTTCAGAATCATTGTCACTCTGATCAGATTTTTTTACTACCAATTTTAAACTATTTCTAAGAAATGAATTTGTAAAGAATGCGTTCTCTTATTTTTGAAATTTTTTAGCTATGTATTTCAATCGTCATATAGAGTTTTACTAGTGGCGGAATGGTGACTAACAAAAAAACCTGATTCATGTATTTTAAATCAATAATTTTGTTACTCCCGTTAATATTTTACGACTTTGTCATTTCCTTAAAAAATTCCGACTTTATGTAAATTTCTGCCAACTTTCCACTTTGTATTCATAATGAAAATTTAATTTTCTACTAAGAGCGAACAAAACTTTGTTTAACTTTTATCTGATCTTGCATTTTGTTTGTTTTTGATTCGAAACTCTGGATTTCGTTACGTATTCGTAACATCAATACAAAATTGATACTTTCCTTGAGTGAAGTCAGTAGTGACTTAGAGACCCTATGACAGAATATATGATCTAAAATGGCGGCACCAATCGACAGTTGACTATGTTTTGGCCAGAATCTAATTCTAAGCTTTCTAGAAGTCAGTAAACACATGAGACATCTCTTGAATTTGTAATAATAAGACAACCTGAGATGTTTTTTATCTTTCGGCCTATAATGAGACGCTTGTTCCAAGCCTGTATGTGTTTTCATTAATTTTTTACAATTTTCTTATGGAAGTTGGTCATGGCTTCAACCACACGCATAAAATCTCTAAATAATGCAAAAAAGGCAACTTTGCTAGAAACTCCTAACGATCCTTTGATAATGTCACATTTTACAATAAATCCACATTACCGAAACCGATTTAACCGATAAAATGCAAATGAACCGTATAAAGCCCTAAAATCGATCTAACCACCAACGCCTCGACCTGTCACTCGACATAAATCGTTTCTAGCGTTAAAACGTCAGTTGGCAGACTTGTATTTTCACATTTATGACATTCCGACAAGTATAATCTTCGAGTTCTCGGTAGCTGCTGGCACGAGGTCAAAAAACACGATGACATCGTGTCATAGCGGCTATTTTCAATTGATTTACAGCGAAATTAATAAAGCGTTATTAAAATTTATTCGACGCGAAACACGTTGGTGGCCACATTATTTCAGGTGACAATAGATTTATTGCAGAATTCCGGTCGTGGATACCACCCGAAATGAAGCAGTCTTGCCAACAAAGCGCATTTTTCGGATCACTCATGTCTGATTTCATCGCTCACACGTTTTAAAATATTATAAAATACCGAGTTGTTTATGGGCGAGGCTTAATAGCTCGACCATGCCTCATATTACCGTTTGTCTGGTGGAAATTTCATAAATTTTGTGCGCTAGCGTGGAGAGATGTAACAGTGTGATAAAAGATGTGTAAGGCACTCTCTGTTTGTTTATGAAAATCGCCGTCTAGGTTTTTATGAATATTTTATTTCATTTTCGTCTTGTTTGAAATAGAGTGCTGGTGAATGTAGCTTTTGGCATGTGAGAGATGATGAATAATGAAACTACTCGTTTGACAGGTCCGACGAATGTCAATTAAACATTTAAATGACATTTCAGTCCGTAACGATCTGTTTATTTTAGGACGGCTTTTTTTTTGTTTCTCTTGGTCAGGTTCATATTTAAAACAGAACGTCGTAAAGCAGATACGTGACGTAAACCAGTCAATTCTTGTCAGTTGTTAAAAGTTTGTCACTGGAAGTATTTGACAACATGATTATTGTCGGGCATAAGATGAGAGATAACTTTTTTGGGACAGAGCAGTATGATGGTTCAACATTCGAAATATTTTCAAACAAATCTGTTGGCAACACTGAATTAGTAATTGATTGGTTACTTGCCAACCTATCGACAAAAATCACACTAGTTTATAATCACCTGGCATTTTTAAATACCCATAATTATTCACGAGGTGCAATAAAAATTACTCGATTAGATCGTTTCAACTGGCCAGCGCGTAATTACCCCAACCTTGAAATTTAAATTAATTAATTTCAATTCCACAATCGTTTTATTCAATTTGCCGTATGCATAATTTTCTGCACATCACATCCGCGGCACGCGATTTTTTCAGGTGATAATCGTAGATTCCAGCAACAAATTATCAGGCAAGGTCAATTTGTGACAACTTACGCACACGCCATGAAATTACATAGACGATACGTATGCGTGCACGCAAAGTTGGTTGTCTACCCCAACTTGAAAAATGTTTCAGTTTTCTTATCTAATTTATTCATCTGTTGCGGTTAGTTCATTCATTCTTTATTTTTACAACATTTACGTGTCAGATAAGTCATACATGATTCATAAAACACACCTTAAATTTGGTGGCATCGTGGGAAAAGAAAAGGGTTCTTTTTTGGTCGAGAAGATCCGTTTTGTTGTTGGGTAAAATTAAAGTGGCGGTATTGATAGAACTGGCGTTCGGCCAATCTTGTTCATTGGAAGTTCTTGAAACCTGCCTTCTTAATTATTATGACGATGTTTTCAGAAAAGCTACTAATTAAAATGGCATGGTTTTCGTAATTTGTTGTCTAATTTGAGGTTTTTTAATTAGAAGTATTACTTTTACGTCCGACATTTGCACAAATATTATTGTGGTGTTATGATTAGAATGAGTTTTATGATTCGAGATGCCAAAATTGATAGAAATCAGAGTTTACATTAATAGGAATAATATTTACTAAATTGCATGTAAATAAACACCAGTCAGATAAATGAAGTTATGTGAAGGCTTGCTTTATCGAATGGTAAAGTGCATGCAGGAAAACATTTGCGGATGTCATGTCCTTGAATTTTTTCATTGGCTCGTGTGCCATTTCTGCAACCTGTCTCATGTCGTTCCATATTTCTTGTTTGCGGTTTCGGTGGCCCCCCGTGGGTCGCATGTGGGCAAAGCCGGTCCAGAAGGTTGCTCAGTCTCGAAATGTTGTGTGCATACTCTTGATGGAGCAGCTCTCTGACGGTAAGAACTTGATTGATGGTCTCAGATTGCGCAAGCTGACACAGAACAGAACAAATTGATAACTCATAAACAGGCGTTCAGGAACTATTCCTAACGAAAATCGTGCATAAATAAATTGTGGGTAGGGGAAGTGGGTGCCGGAAAATTCACTCGAAGGTTAAGAGGGTGGGCCCCAGGTAGCGGCTTTCCGGCGTGACGAGGGTGAACGTGGATGGGAATAATTTAGTTTGGGCGCCTCGCCGGCGGAAAAAGGCGGCGGCTGTACCAGCAACATGTGTCGGAATGCGCCAGCTGGTGAGCTTGTCTGGGATTGGCGACGGGAGGCTTTGATCTCGATAGTGCGCTAATGAAAGTCGAAGAATGGGCAAAGGTGAGGTTTGGATACAGATTGGGATTTGACCATTGTGAGCGGCCTGAGAGCCAGAGCGCAGGTGATGCGAGGGTTGTTCACAGCTAACAAGCCTTTGGGCGTGAGAATTGGATTAATTTTTGAATGTATTTTACATCTGTAGTGATTAAAAACGGAAAACACGCGTCAGCCGTAAAAACTAGATTCATTTGTTTTCTTTTTAATACGATATGAGAAAAAAAAAAGTGTACCAAAGTGTAATTAAATTGGATATTATTAAAAACTATGTACTTCGAAAAGCACTCTTACGAATCTGTAAAGTCTTGGAACTAAAATTTCTTCATTCTCTAAGAAAATTTTCATCGTGTTATTTATTGTGGTCGATTGATAACAGTGTCATCAAATTCCATGTAAAAATGACTTTCAGAATGTGAAATTTGTCATTTCTGTTTCATATTTCTGTAAATTAATTTCCACTACGGAAATGCTTCTTTGTGAAATGGTCTTCATCAGTTGACAATTTGGACATTACTATTTGCGTGTGACTATGCCTCTGCCACATAAATCTATA